TTCTGATGGCAACCTTGCAGCAGGGGTCCTAGAGAACCCAACTTCCGACGCAGCTATCTGTGTCAAAGCGGATCCCTGTGATAATCCCTATTTAAGGGAGTGGTGGAGTGAATATGGGTGCCATTGTTTGGGTATATATGGAGGCTACATAGGGATCATTGTAGGGATCCACTCCCCCACTCTCCCTTGTGCACCAGGCAGGAGAACCTCAAGAGGAGCCCGACATACTTTCTCCCTTTACAGCGCGCTGTATTGGATCTGATGCTAATTCCTGTCCAGGGTTTGGGGTGTACGTGGGCTTAGGTCTCAGGCTAATTCGTCTACCCTCAACCCTAAACCCTGAACCACCCTCCACCCTAAACCACCCTAAACCCTAAACCAGATGGGCCATCTTTGAAAGGACTGCAGCGTGGAGGACAGAAAATGGGACTTGTGTGGTCAAGGCTTCTGAGTTTGCTAAGGGGTCTAAGGTCCATCTATGCTCACCTAGCGCCCCTGTGCAGCAAGCGGTATTCTCCTTCCCCAACGCTTTTTTGGACGTTCATTATACTCTCTGTGCAGCCCACATGGAGGATCCAAAGCCGCAAATGCTGAAATGGCATGACGCTCCACATAGTCTACCCCTAAGGTTCTAAGTTGCCCAAAGTACATCCATGGACTTTGATTAAACTTCAGGGCCCCAAATACGTACTATCTACGGACTTGGAGCGCCAGTATGCAGTTTCAAGCTCTCAGGCATCTCGCAGCGCTTGCTGCAGGAGTCTAGATGGTGATGTAGGGGGCTGAATAATTGACATCATCATGTATCGCGTACTATATTACCTATCTTTGGGGTCCAGGTAGACACTGCCCTGTGCAAACTTGTAACTCTGAGGCCATAGCGATCGCCATTTTCTGCTGGATAGTGCCCAACTCCTTCCTGCGCAAGACTACTCATATGAGCTTCAGTCTAGACGCCTAGTATCCGCCTTAATGACCCCCGTAATACTTGACTATACAATACCCTGTATAATCCCCCTTTAAGGAGTTTGGCCTATAGCTCATATAACTCTTTGGAACCATCTGGGAGTTGATCGAACAGATCCTAAAAATCCCCACAACGCAAATGTCTGCAATGCTGTTCTGGGTACGGGTTCTTACGGCCTTAACTTTGGGTCCACCTCAACTGCATATCTGCGCCATAAACCCTGCCAAACAGGTGATAGCAAGATCTTAGGTCATAAGGCCAGACTACTTGTGATGCTACAACAAGAATCCTGCATGAACTATACATTGGGGTTATATTGGGATAATGGTAACTACTATAGTATATTGGGGTTGCATTGGGATAATGGAAAAGAAAATGGAAACAACTATTTAGGGATTAGGGTTCTTTACAATCCCCCTTAAGTAGGGTTTACCTGGACCCCAAAAGTATGTAAAATCATGGCCCTTAGGGCTGTTATTTTGGGTTTAGGGCTATTATTTTACATACTTTTAGGGTTTAGGTAGGGTTTAATTAAACCACCCAGTTTTACCAGACCTGGGGATACGTGAGGCTTTCTGAGAATGGGCCGCCCCTAGGACCCTTAAGGATATAGGGTTTAGGGTTTAGGATTATAGTCCCCCTTAAGTGGATAGAATATGGGGTATATGGGGATCTTATTATAATATACCCAATGCCATATTCTATCCACTTAAGGGGGGCTATACACTGGGGCCATTAATGTAGCCCCCTAATTAATAAACCCCCTCCTCTTAACAGGGATTATAATGGGGATCCTAATATGAAGGCCCTTAAAAGGAGGGGGTTCGTTCATCATGGGTCTACATTAGGGGATGGTGGGGCGGGGGTGGCTATTCGGGATTCTAGCGCAGCGATTACTTTGAAGAAAGCTCTAGGCAGGTGTATGTGGCCATCAGCCCTACACTAAGCCCTAACCCTAAACCCTGAATCCATCGAATTTAGGAGGATAACCTCCCCAAATAGCAGGGCCAATCATGTCAGGTTTCTGCCTTGCAGGCTTGAGGACTTCGAGCTTGGACATTGAGAGTCTTTGCTTGAACATCAAATCAGGGTTTAGGATAAATCACATGCCTGCACCCTGAGTTCTGGCGCCCGAAGCAAGTCCGAGTTTTGTCTCCCACGCTTTTTCTGAGTGGTGCAGCGCGAAGGTTTTTGCAACATTCAAGCCCGTGCACGACTGTGTCATCATGAGAGTGGGTGATGTTCATTCACTGGACGAGCCCTCGTTCAGATATAGTCATTCTGCACACACTCCTTCGTCAAAAGGGTATGTAGACTTATTTTTGTCCAAGAAGGCCAAAAGGACCAAAACCGATGTGTACGGTCTGGCAGCAATCAACCGTTCATTCCCCCCTACATTTTGAGCCCTGAGCTCCGAAGCTGTATGGCTCTGTTGCCCGGTATCTCCAAAGCAGAATGCCTCCAACGATATTCTTTTATGATGCATGACTTTGGGTGCCGAATTCTCCCGCCCAAGTGCGCCTTATGTGGTCGAGTGCTTGAAAAAGTCGCATCACCTCGATACACCTGGCGAAGTGATCAATATGGTGGATACAAGCCATCCTGCATGACCCTTAGTACCTTATAGCTTGCAGATTATGCTACTAGAGTATAATGAGGGCATGCAGGTTTTTAGTATCAAGCATATGGTTGTATTTTGCAGGCTTGGGCTCTGCGTGCAGGGATTCGGTAGGAAAGATCCATGCTAGCCTTCGTGGATAGAATATGGGGTATATGGGGATCTTATTATAATATACCCATCTCTACTTACGGAGGACTGTGCGTTTGCAGAGGTAAAGGCTTTCTCAGATCTAGACCCCAAACCCTCAGGCTGTACCAAGGTTGGATCCCTGTCACTTCCCTACTGCTCACGAGCTCGAAGAGTGAGATGGAAGCAGCTAGAGCGTGAAGCCCTGGACCTTTTGGTGACTCTAGATCTCAAATCCAGAACCTTCTACGCTCCTAATGCCCCATTTCCGTCCAAAGTACCCAGTATGATTGTGAGATTTATGTACCCATTAAAGGACATGCTCAGGGGCATTGTCAGGTTCTAGAGTCCGGAAACACCCCGAAACTCAGATAGCTGAAGTCCTGAAAAATCAGGGTCCAGGGTCTAAGGTGTAGTAATAGGCGTAGGTATATCTGCAAGTGTTCCAAGCTATCCGACAGCAACCCCAAACACAAAACCATAAGCCCTTCATCTCGAACCCTAAAACATTCAACAGGAGACACACTTACACTCACTTTGGGCTCTTACTTAACAATTTTCCCTGTACTTGATTGTCAAACTTGAAAGTTTCCTAAGGCAGAAATCCACCCCCAAACCCCAAGTAGTTGTAGGTAAGCTGATGGGCCCGGCCTGGCCCCGCCCTTCAAGCGTAGCGTGCCGAGAAGGAACTCGGGTAGTCCGATAGTCCTGAGGTGGATCCAGGGTGTAGGATTTGGGAGGAGCCAAACCCTAAACCTCTCCCTCAAGCCCCAACCCTATAACCCTTACAGCCTTGAACCCCTAAACCTGGAACCCTCAACCCTACAGAAAGGCGTGTCGTGGACACCTGTCTGGGTGTACACGATGCGTCTTTCAACATCGTGCTGTTACATGTTTAAGGGTGTTAGGTTGTGTGCAGGCTGTTTTAAAATCTAAACGACATTTCAACAGCTCACCAATTCACCAGTTCACCAATTCACCAACTCACCAATTCACCAATTCACCAATTCACCAATTAACCAACTCACCAATTCACCAATTCACCAACTCACCAATTCACCAATTCACCAA